TTATAATATGATTTTTCAATAATATAAATATAGTAGCCAGAATTGGTCAAAGAAAAAAAATAAAGTTAGAAATTGATAATAAAGATATTTCTGTCAATTTAGTTAAACAACTTAAATTGCCCATAAAGATTAATTGAATAATAATTAGTGATCCAAACCTTGGTCCCAATTCTTGATTAATGGTGGCCGACCTCTTAATTAATTAAAAGAAAAAAAAATTAATCACCCAATTAATTATTTTTGAAGAATTATTTATTAACATTGACTAATTGTCATCTTTCAATTATATTGCCTCCCAATGAGGTCTTTGTATGACCACATTATTTGTTGAGATAGGCTAAAGTTTTTATGATAATACTTCATAGTATATTGATGTATGGTCAAGAAAAGATTTACGTCGCTCTAATACTGGCCATAAAAAAAACGAAAGTATAATAATCATTTCAATGTTTTTCTTGCCAACGTTTTGACTTTTAATGTCAAGAGTTAAATTGAAATGTTACTTACTAATGATGCATATAAAAATCTAATTAGGAGTAAACTGTTAACCTTTGGTAGCTCAAATGGTATGACGGGTGTTGAGATATGTGGTTAAAGCGTACGGTCTTAGGTTTGAATCTCTTTAAGTTTCAAGATTTAAGCAGATGATCATAGGACATGCAAACTGGCATCGTGTTAAAAAAAAAATATATTTTTTTTAATTACCTTTAATCAAGCACTAATTTTCAAGTCAATTAAATTGAAAAAGAAAAAGAAAGTCAATTAATCACAAAATTCCAACAGTTAATTAATAATTGGGTAGCCTAACTCTTACCTCCAATCAAACTCAACCTTATTATTAGTGTTACTTTCCTACGCAATCATTTTGCGCCACGTTTCTTCTCCCTGTCGTGGCACCATGTCGGAACAGGGGAAGCAGGGCCCACAGTGCCAGCTCAAAAACGGGTCAACCCACTTAAAGTTTAAAGTTTGGTATTACTTTTGGTCTCACCCAATACCAACTCTCCATGTGGAGTAGTTTGGTCGTTACGCCCGTCGGCAAATGGCGGCACTGTCTATTCCTATAATCCTATTTCTCCAATCTGCCGTGGCGGAAATCAACGTTGACTGAGCAATTGAATATGGGCCGTCGGATCAAGAAGGTTGCCAAGACGGTTGAAATTCTTCTGAAATGGCTAACTGCCACGCGTCCCCATTGGATAATTTTAATTTTTAATTTCCTGAAAAGGAAATGAGTTATTTGGCACTATTGTAAAGCACATGTTTCCACCCAACGTTTAGCAAAATTGCAAGTTTCCAACCCTAGTTTTATTTATTTCAGATTCTCACCTTTAATTAAACACGATAAATGATTGTTCAACTAAGGGTGGGAATCTGAAAAATTGACTTGGGCCTTTTATCAGCGAATAGAAAGTCAAAAACAATCGAACAACATACCCATACAAACTACAACACAAGGAGAGTTTTTTGGTGTAGTCTGATGATGCCAGTTGCTCTCCGATCGAGCAGAACACAATCGAGAAGATGCCCAAAATTGCAAGGTGGCAAGTGGGAGTGGACGAAAAAGTGAGTGATGACGGCAAGTGGAGGTATGAGTTTTGTAGAAGAGGTCATGGGGAGTCAAACAATGGTTTTGAAAGTTATTTTGAAGTTCGGGGATCGATCAAAAAAAGCCAAAATTTGGTGGCTTGGGTGATGCTAACATGAGCCGTTTCTTGCTAACATGAGCCTATTTTTTACTTAAAAAAGCACCAATGCATGTTAGCGTGCTAACGTGAGCCTCACTACAGTGAACAGTTAAAATTAAGGAAACGATGTTAATTTAAAGATGGAAATCTTGAATAAATGAAACCAGAGGTGGGAACTTGCTGTTTGGCTAAATCTTGGGTGGGAGCATGTAGTTTACTCTTTGGCATTATTGATTACCTCTCCAATTAAGAAATGAAAACAACAATTATTAATAAAGTAATCAAATACGACAAAACTTGACCCAACTTGAATCTTCCTATTATTTCTTTAATTAAAAAAATTGCCTTCGCATTATCATATGAGGACTGAGGTTAATCCATCCGGTAATGTCATCGACTAAATGTTTAAATTATACATTATTTTCGTTATTAATGATTTAAAACTAACTCAATAATGTTGTTAATTATATCGTTAAGATAGAGTTTTCCCTTTCTTTCTTTTAAGAAATCTTCATATGTTTTTATGGAGTTTTTTTTTTTGGGGGATAAATCCGAAACATACATATTTGAAAACTTTTAAGTATGAACTTAATATCTAGACTGAAAACCTAAATTCTTGTTCCACTTCATATTTTACATTTTTTTTTTCATTTTCTGAGTAAATTTTTTTTTTTTTTTTTTTTTTTGTTTACAAAGATATCCGAACCAGTTTACATACCTCCAAGTAAATTCATTGAGGAAAGTATTATTTTTGCTCATAGCAGGAAATCGAATCATGGATTATAGGTTGAAGTCATTGTAGCCCCCATTTGTTCACCCTTTCTGCTACGCTATCCATGGATGAATTTTTTGAGTAAATTTAAAACAGACATAATAGAAAGTTGTTAGATACTAACTTAAAATCTGAACCTAAATTTTCAAGAATAAAAATTAACTCATTCAAACCTTAATTAGTAATCGTATGTTAAATCTTATAGACGAGAGATATCTATACATGTATGAATTTAACCCTTATTAATGATATAGTAATGTTGGGTATGAGAATTTTGGTTGATTAGAGATAAGTACAGTTCAAATTGTGAAAGCCCCACTTGGTAAAGGGTAGCTAATGAGCATTAATGACTAAATAATGGATAAACCTTTTTCTAAAGATGTAATTTAGAAACAAAATCTAGTTATAAGCTAAGAACAACCTTACTAGATATATTGGTTTGAATCCCTCGGGTTCTCAAGATTTAAGTAGGTGATCATAACGGTGAGATGTTGTGTTAGTCATCTACAAAGATTAGTCAAAGTGTTCGCAAGTTGGCCCGAACACCCTGTTTAAAAAAAAAAAAAAAAAAAAAGAAACCGTAGTACATATATATGTTTAACTTTGTAGCATTTTTTTTTTTTTTTTAGGTTAAATTAATCAACCACTTATTTGACTGACTTTTTAGTCTTTTATTATTGCATTATTTCAATAAAAAACAGTTAGCTAGGATTGGAAAATTAGTCACCAAAGATTTGGCTCTTTCTTGCGACATGAAAAGCAAATGTTGACATCCACCATTCAAGAACTTACCCAAGAAATTTATTGTATATTTTACTAAATAATGATATTGTTTTGATAATATTATTATCCAAACCATCTTCAAAAAAAAAAAAAAAGTTTTAAAATAAAAATAATCGATGTCTCTTGTTAGTGTTTAATTTCTACGTTCTCAATTTTTTAACATGTGAACCAAAAGTTGATAATTAAAAGTTTCTAACACGTTCGCATCTGGGTATTTTTGTATTTACTTCAGTAATAAGTTTTTGTCTTCTTCAAATTACTCCGTTAATTAATTTATAAAGCGAATAATTAGAGAATATATAAGGGAGATGTTTAATAAGGTTGGAGACTTAGATTTGATTACAAAATGTGAAACAAAGACTTCCATGTTCCATGGTCAAAAATTAAATTGAAAAAGATATAATAAAATATCATATAAGAATGATTTTATTGATTTTTTTCAAGATTCGATCTCAATATATGTAGATAGATGCAAAGTTCGCATTGTTTTTTTAAGCTCATTATAAACAAGTATTAAAAATACTATATTAATATTTCTTATAATTTAAAAATCTCTTTTAAATTCTAATTAAAAACTAGAACCTTCACCGAACCTTACAATCATTGAAAAAATTTTAATTCAAGTAGGCAGCAGTAACGGCAAGCCAAGGGGCTGCAAATGAGTAGAACCCACAATCCCATGTTCGATTCTCCGTTGGACGCAAAGATAATATTTTTGTCCATTATTTACCTGAGAGACTATAGTGTTAGATTGTTATGGGATAGCTCTCTTTAAATATTAGTCGAGATGTACATAAGCTGGTGTGAACACCTCAATTATTTCAAAAAAAGAAAAAAAGTGTTTACAAATTCCAGACGGCTATATTAGAAATTAGGTACACTTTGTGTTCAATGTGAATTGAAAAGACGTAGGTTGTCCACATAATTGTGGGTAGGATTCTCACTAAATGGCAATCCTATAATGATTTTTGAGGGTCTCAATTGAGGAAAAAGGGATCAATATTTTCATATGTTTGGTTCATTCAAGTGAGAACTATACTTTCAAAACAGTGTACAAATTGTGACTACCACAAAAAACCCAAACCTAATTCTTTTGAATATGAACATGACCATGTACATTCATGTACTTGAGCTTTATTTTCTGCATAGTTCCATTCTTTGTCGACCTTACAAATTTGTATTTATTAGTATCAAAAGGAGATGAAAATAAGTATTACTGGGTTTCACCTTCCCTAAGTGCTTATTAATACACTATTAAACAGTAGTTAACTTTGGTTAAACAATGACAACTAATATTCAAGACTTTGAGTCTACTATGAATTTCTTTGATCTACCTAATAAGCTTCATTTCATAATGGGGTTGGTTTCAAACGTTCATACAGGTTGACCAGATAATGTTATCAGATTGATATTTTAATTAAAAATAACAATGAACCGAGATTGTCTCTAATCATTTTCACATTTGATAAAGTAAATTGAATGATATTGTTTTCTATTATGTTACTTGAATAATATTGTCTCTTGTTATCTTTTATCTTTGATAACATCGTTGAAACGATATGGTCATCTTTTATTTTCACGTTTGATAATTATCTGATGTTATATTCACATTAACTTGCAGATATCATAATTGGGTATTTTTTTTAATGAAATTAAAAAAAATAAAGAAAAAAAAAAACAATTACATGAAGAGGTTAAAACAAAGAGAGCACCCACCAAAGTTGCCTTATAAACCACGTTTCTTTCTTTTCTTTCTCTCTAAAAACCAGTATTTAGGGAGTTCTGTTCCACACAACACTTCCCTTTTCTCTAAGCACAAGATTATATTTCTTCAATCTCTCTCAATTTCATCCTTTGCCCATTTCACTTCTGATATTTTTAACAAGAACCCATTTGAGAGATTTCAAAATACTTTTGTTTTCCAATGGAAAATTATGATGAGCAGATGGAATTGCCTCCGGGATTTAGATTTCATCCCACTGATGAAGAGCTTATATCTCACTACTTGACACCAAAAGTTCTTGACACTTCTTTTATTGCTAGAGCTATTGGTGAGGTTGATTTGAACAAGTGTGAGCCTTGGGATTTGCCTAGTAAGTGGAAATGTTTTTTTTGTTTTTGAAAATTATGTTTTTGTTTTTGTGGATGTTGTTGTTGTAACTTTTGTTGTCGTGTGTTTTGTGAATTGAAGGGAGAGCTAAAATGGGTGAAAAAGAATGTTATTTTTTCTGTGTTAGAGACAGAAAATACCCAACTGGGCTGAGAACAAATAGAGCAACTGAAGCTGGTTATTGGAAAGCCACAGGCAAAGATAAAGAGATTTACAAAAATAAATCCCTTGTTGGAATGAAGAAAACTTTGGTTTTTTACAGAGGAAGAGCCCCAAAAGGTGAAAAAACCAACTGGGTTATTCACGAATTTCGATTAGAAGGGAAATATTCTGCTTATAATCTTCCCAAAACTGCCAAGGTAACGATAATTCCTCTGATTTCCTCTGTTTTTTGCTCTGTTTTCTTTTGGTTAATTTTGTTGTTTTGGTTTTGGGCAGAATGAATGGGTGATTTCAAGGGTGTTTCAGAAGAGTCCTGGAGGGAAGAAAAAGAATATTCAAGGGATGGTGAAATTGGGTTCATTTGTAGAAAACAATTTAAGTTCTTCTCCTGTGTTGCCTCCATTGATGGATTCTTCTCCTTACAACAACAGTGAATCAAGAACAACAAATGTAAACGAAACGTCTCACGTGACCTGCTTCTCCGAGCCCATGGAGGATCAGAAGACTCAAGAAGAAGAAGACATGATGGATCCCTACAACACTTCCCTTTTAGCTTTTTCTTCTTCCTCGAACCCACAATCTGATATTTCCCCTGTTTCAAACTCGTTTTTCATGCCAACTTTACCGAATTTGCACTACCCAGATTCATTTTTTATGCAAGACCAGTCCATTCTGAAGATGTTGCTTGAAAACCATGGACCAAACATGAAGAAAACATTTTCAAAAGCAGAGTTTTCTCAGGATTCAGTGGTGTCAAACCAGGAAGCTGTTCAGAAATCATTTGAAGATCATCATCATCCATCAAGTTCTGGTGGACCAGTAGACCTTGATTGTCTGTGGAATTATTGAAACTAATATTATAAATCATATTGTCAAAGACTAGGAGATTTAGAATCTTCAGTAATTATTTTTGTTGAAAAGTTGTGGTGGTGTGTGTAAATAGATTATTATTATTAATAATAATCTACAGTCATATAATAGGAATAGCGAATGAAATGCATGTATTCTAAGAAAAATAAATAAACAACTCCATTTTACACTGACTTCTTATTTATACTTAGTCAATAACATTATTTGATCGATATTTTAGAGCTTTCCTTCATCGGATTTGTTATGGTACTAGTCAATAACGTTATTCGGTGTATTACTAAGTGGGTATTGTAGAGTGAGTCTATTTCTCTAAGTTTTTCACATTTTCCTTCATACCCATGTGCATTTTTTTCTTACTCTATTAAATCAATAACGTTATTTGTTCGATATTTTAGTTAGTATATAGACTTCTGATTCAAATGTAAAACTTTTTTTTTTTTTTTTTTTGGTGACTGGGGTGTCCAGGCCAGCTTATGCACATGTAACTAATCCTCCAGAGCTCTAAATTTGACAGTCCGGTAAATCCCCTTAGCAATCACCCTTATTAGTAATCTAGGTGGATTGAACTTATGACCTTTTTACTAATACACCCAAGAGTCTTAATTGACCACTGGGTCACCCAGTGGTGGTTTCAAATGTAGAACATTGTTTTGATCGTAGGATGAACGTATGTATTTCTCTAATTTGTTGGTGTTTGAAAATTGTGATAACCCAATAATTTTGATTTGGTAGATTAGTTAGCAAACCAGAAGAGGTGATTGTTTTTGTGTTTGTTGGAGTTGTCGACTACTTCAGCATTAGTGGGTTACGTAGACGCATTCGGGGGTCCTGTTGTATAACCGTTGAAGGATTTGTTTAAGTTATTAATTCCTTATTGGGATGGGCTTAGGAATAGGAATCCCTATAAAATTAGGTTTTGTCACTTAAAATTAATATATAAACATATTTTTCTTTTGTTATGAGTGTAATAGCAATAATATGATAATTCATTCATTGTAAACGAGAGAGGTGAAGAAGTATTGCAATAATATTGACTTGATTGGACGTAGTTCATATTGGGTGAATTAGGATAAATCGCGCGTATTACTTTCTGTCTCTGATTTGCTTTATTTTTAATTTGTTCTCACCGCTGTCACTATTTCATTCAATGTTGTGTGTGTGTCCCCGCCTCTGTGTTTGTGGCGTTTGTGTCTGTGTCCATGTGTGTGTGTGTGAGAGAGAGAGAGAGAGAGAGAGAGTCAAAGGTTTCATGTTAGATGTTAGGCCAACAACCAAAAGCTTGATATCAGTCAGTGATTAATAAGAATAGGTGACAAGATACACGAGTGCATTTCATTTCTGCCAAGTAAATATTCAAACCAAAGTACAAATCTAAAGATATGAGAATTCAGAATTCTCATTGCCTTCTCTTCTTCTTGTTCTTGCCATTCAACCTTTGTTGATAGCGGTTCTAGTGAACTTACTTCTCACATGAATAGTTTTCTGTAGCTTTCAACTGTTATCAAGATTATTATTAGTGTTGATGATTAATTAAAGGGTAAAGTTACATGTGTTTTGATTGGAAAAACCAGATGTTCTTATTGACTTTCTCTGCATTTCCCAATATAGTTGACTTAGGGTTCTTGACAGCTGCAAAATCTGATTTTCTTGTTGAAATCCCATGAGCATTTTGGGTTCCTTGCATGTTTTTTTATTGTCTATCAAATGGGTATTAATTGTATTATTATAATTATCGAACTTGATCAAGTAAAAAAAAGTAAAGAAAAACATCGTCCGAATCTAACGGATAATTATCGAACCTTATCATATGAAAGAAGTAAGTGAAAGCTACTACTGAACTCAAAGCTTAACAATGTCATGAAGATTATAATTATCGAACTTTATCAAATGAAAAACAGTAAGAGAAAACATCCTCAGAATCTAATGAATAATTATCGAACATTATGGAATTAGGTCGACTCTTATCAAATAAAAGGAAGTAAGAAAAAGGTAAAGCTACTACAAAACTAAAAAGTTAATAATAAACTACTTATGGGTAGCTGAGTGGTTCAATAGGAACTCTTGGGTGTATTACTTCTAAGTTCGAGTCTCTCTTCGGTTTTCAATAAGGATATCCACTAGAACTTTTATTTGACCAGTTGTTCCAGGGTCCTAAAAAAAAAAAAAAAACTTAACGGCTGCGTTTGTTTGTTTTTTTTTTTCCCTATCATATTCTTGTTTTATCCAAAATACACATTTGTTTCTCTATTCTCAAAATCCAATCATATTCTATTCAACTAAAAATGTCTAGATTTTTTTGAACCTTTAGGTTTGTTAATTTAACTAAACACCCCCAACCGGTCACATTCAGCCGGTCGCGCGTCATTTCAACGACTTCTGTCCATCGTCCGACAATGGTAGCCGGCTGCTGGCATTTAATGGGTGAGTGGGGCTGTTTTTATTAATTTTAAAACTTTTATTGTGTGGAGTGGTTAATTAAATTAACAAATATAGGGGATTAAAAATAATTATACAAAACAAATTTTCAAATTCAAGTCTTATCCTCGTAATAATAAAAAAATTCAATCTTTTCAAAAATATTACTCAAAATAATGAAACAAACACACCCGTTAACAATACGATGAAGATGGGTAATGGAATTAAATTGTAGATACAAATTTGTGGATCTCCATTATACTCATATTCTCATTCTCTCAACATTAACTAGATTAGGTTATTTTTCATAGCACAAGCCTTGCACGTAATAGATATTACTAAGTGTTACCATTTATAACTTTGGAGTTATACAAATTGAATTTTCTTGCACAAAAAATCCAACATCCACCGAGCTATTCTTGAGTGACTCACTAAGTGATTGCCTTAGAAAAAACTACTGCTCGTTTTGGCAATTAGGGTTTCATTGGTTGGAGGGTTGTAATCATGTATTTCATATTCTCAGCCATTAATGAGTTCAAGAAATTGGGTATTCTGTCTACTCAAAAGATAGTGTCAAAAACATAAAAGCTTTGTCTAGTCTTTCCCTTTTAACTTAAATCAAGTAGGAATTTTTTGTTCCAAATAATAAATAAGAAAATACCAATTCAAGGTTTTTAGAATTAGGAATACAATAGATATGATATAAATTTATTCATTTTCTATTATTATATATATATATATGGTTGTTTTTGAAGAAAACTAATAAAAACAAGGATTTTTTTTTTTTATATATAAATTAATATATTATATGATATAATATGCTTATTCATCTTTTTATCTATTATTTTAATTTATCTATATTTTGAAAGAATATCCAATCTTTAAATCTTGCATTTAGAATTGTATTAATAAAATACCAAATCTTCTCCTAATTTGATTTTTATTCGACTAAAAATATAAGATTGTGATTAGTGATAAACAAAAACATAGAATTAAAAACAAATCACAATTATACACGTTCATTCTTGTACAAACTTTCCAAATTTACAACATTATTAAATGACTAATATCAAAAGGTCTCGTTTTTTTGATATAATATTTACTTTGTAAAATAAAATATTACAAATTACAGTATTATGATTAAGTTGTTAATAAATAATTCTGAACGGATCATAAAATCCTCAAAATAAATAAAAAAAACAAAAAAACTCACATCAGAAAATGATCCTAAGAAAGTAAAAGGTACCCTCCTTTTAAAAATATAAATGAAAAAAAGAAAAAGAATGGGCAAAGAGTTTGGACAGAGAGTTAGGCCGGAAGTAAGCCCACTTCCCCCACTTAATTACTAATGACAAGGTGCTGACCTCATCACATGAGGGGCTTACAGTCTTTTCTCTGGGATAGCCACGTCATCTTTGTATTTTAGTGTAACTATCCAATGTGCCATGTGGCATTCCATTAAAATATGTAAACTCATATATTCATTAGCACCTTCTATTTTGGTACAGTTTTATTGTGGGGACCTTTTCCCTTTTTGGTTCAAGACTCACAATAATGTAAAAAAAAAATTAAAAAAATATAATAAATTCCCATAATTCGAATGCAATAATTCCTATTATTTTTTCCTTATATTCGTATTTAATTTTATATATAGAAACAAGGAAAAGAACTTGCTTATAAGGGATACTGTTAGGGCCAAAAATCGTCCTTGGCCCAAATAGGGAAATAGGACCACTAATGAAGAAAAGACCAGGCCCAGTCCTAAAGAGGCCCAAGCCAGATTAGTCCCATTTGATACGAGATACGGCCAACCCAAACTATCTGGGCACGGGCCTCCCAGTTCCAGCTCACCTCTTGGGCCAATAGGCGAGTTTAGAGCCAACGGCCCCCATTGATCACTTTCTTGTTCCTGTTCAATCTCCTATTCGAAGTCACTTTCCTGTTCGTGATCACTTTCCTACTCGAAGTTACTTTCCTGATCAGAATCACTTTCCTATTCGGACACTGGAAAGACAGCTTACCACGACCCTAATTCTTCTAGGGTTTGCATCAGAGTCACATTAGGACTCCTACTCCTACTCCTACCAGGATTGGGAGACCAGACAGTCACTATATAAACAGAGGACAACCCTCTCACAAAGGACACGACATTACACCTTCACACTGAAAGCTTTGACTTGAGAGTTTTACATCACCGCCGTAGTCACAGTCCCCGACTAGACTTCCGGTAACCTTTTACTCCCTAGCCCTCACTATATTAGCCTTTCAGCCTTGTTGACTTGAGCGTTGGAGTGCCTTCGGCAAACACCACCCCTATGTTTCCCGTTCGCTTCACGCGTTTGTTTTTCTACGTGTGCAGGTACAGCGGATCGCTAGTGGCCTCAACCTCACGGGATCAGACGCTCCTTCCGTACAAGTAGATTTTCACATCTACAGATACATAAAAGACCTTTTTTTTTTTTTTTTTTTTGGTAATTGAAGTGTTTAGATCAATTTACATTTACCTCGACTATTACCTCAAACTATTCTTAGGGAGAGCTATCCCATAATAATCCATCGTTGCTACTCCTTTTGCGCCCAATAAGGAGTCGAACCTAGACTGTGGGTTAGATTATTTGTAACCCCCTTGGTTCGCACGTACTGTTGGACTATCCATGAGTGGGTAAAAAGACTCTTTTTAAGAACAATAATTTAGAGAAAAAAACAAGAAGACCTCTAAAATTATTATAAGAATTTAGCTCATGAAT